AGGTTTAAATGTCAGTGTCGGTGGAATTAATACTGGTCGTTCAAATATAATAATTAAGCATATCAGAATTATATATTTTGTGTACAATTTTAAAAATTACAGCCATAGTAGAAAAGTTGCAAAATATTTTGAATATATTATGAAATGGCATAGAATCATAGGTACACCATTCCATTGGATTTGAGGTTTATAAGCAAAATTACAAGGTTATACTGTAGACTTTAAGAGTTAAAAACTATTACAGAGTAAGTCGAAAAAAAAAGTTGACTCAAATGTACAAATGATTAAATGATTCTAATAGATTAACCAAATAATCTATCAAACAAACAATCCTAAGGTATAATGTCATATCCACAAGGAATTTTAAACCAGCTCATAGTGGTCCTTATCTCCCTTACATGGACAGTAATACTATTGCTCGGCATATCTTTAATATTTTTGTCATTTCATCACATTAGAATATCATTCCATTCTATATATGTACTTAAGCGTGTGAATGGACCGGTTTTGGATTAGACCTATTCAGTTCAAAATCAATTTAAATGGATTAGACGGACCAATAAAACATATTGGATTGGACCAATCCGGTTCAAAATATTTATTAGATTGGATTGGACCTGGTCCATCTATAATAAATTTATATTGGATTGAGTTGGATTAAGCCAATATCTAATCCATTGATATTAGAGAAGAATATGAATATCAATGGAGCAGGTTTAGATTGAAACCAATCTAAATCAAAACGATTTTAAATAGATTGGATGCTCCAAACATTGAATTTGACCGGTCCAAAATAGTCCAAAATATTCATGGGACTGGATTGGACCTAGTCCATTTATAATGGATTCACATTGGACTGGATCGGATTGGACCAAATCCAGTCCAATTAACACCCCCAGTACTGCTAGTTTTCTCAATTTTAGTAATATTTTGTATGGATAACCTATAAAAATAAAAATGCATTATTGAATTACCAAAAACTGTATATGCTGGTATTTTAAACCATAATGAACAAGTTTTCTTAATATCCACCACTGATTTTACTTATTTTAAATCATAGTTATTGTTAAAGAGTATATTTTATAACGGGTTTATGTTCCATTTAAGCAAAAGCTGCTCAAGAAGCCTTATGTAATTGTTGTCAGAATCAATTAATGATGTATCTTTAATAATTATTTATTTTGTTTGGTTTTTATTCATGACATCTCTTATCTCTTATCTATTGGTGGTAGAGCTAACATTGAAATGATAGCCGACTGTCATGAATAGACTATAAGTATATACTACCATATATACTAATACTATCATGTAATTGTATATGATAGAATTAGGCCTAATATGTGTCTCCAATAACAAAATATTAAACCATCGTATTTATTTTATTTTCTTGGAATTTAAGCATGGGATAGAATTATAGAAAGGTGGTGATTTGAGCACATCAATTTTTTTGATAAATCCACAAGACCCTTTACTATTATATTACAAAATTTACTTATTTAATAAACAAAAAATGCCCCTTATCAAAAGGAGGTTGTCCAAATTTGGGCCTATTAAAAATCCCTAAGAAAAAAGCTTTTTTTTTTTTGAGCAACTCAGTACCCACAGACCACAATAAGATTCTAGCCTTGTGTGTCTGCAAGCTTTAATAACAACTTGGGCTCATTTCAGATGCCCTAAGAATCAAACTGGGGCATTACCAATGGAATGAAATAATTTTGTTTTGGTTTCTCTGATAGAATATGAATTCATATGTCAACAGAAAAATGGAATCATCATCTGAATGTTAGTAAAAATCCAAAATTGCACTCTTATTTGCTGTCCCTTCCATTATTGAGTTGGTTCTCCATAATATTGTGAATCTATAAATTCAGATGCCATGGAAAATCCTAATTCATGACCAAATGCCCTAAAAATGAAATATCAACATCATGTCCAGGAACTATGAATGTAGGCCCAACGTTCCAATCCTTATGGTAGAACGTCTTTTTCCACCTTCTTACTAATACAGTGACAAAATAATAATACTGTATTATTACAGAATTTTAATTAAGTGATATATATATGCATTTATTTTTTGGACAATATTTAGTAATTAAGTCATTAAAATAAAGGTTAGATAGTTATTTTAGGCATTTAAGTAGAAGATAAAATTTTACTTTTCTGAACCATTTTGTTAGATTTCATTTATGTATCCATATGTAAGAGTTCAAACAAATTAAAATAGCAATTGTATTTAGTTTTAATTAATAAACTTGTACAATTAATCTTGAAATAGACCAAATGCGTGGTTGTTATCCAAAATATTTTTTACCATTCTAGAACTGCTCTCTTTTGGAGTTCTTCAATAGTTCATAATTTTGGATCCATATCTGTGTTTTGAAAGAACTGATGAAATCCTTATAAAGCTATTTTTAATATTATGATAATATAATATTGGCATAGTGTTAATTAATTTTATGTGATGGAGATTGCACACATAAGCTTGACAAAATTCTTTTTTCCCTGGTACCATCAACCTAGAAAGCAAAAGTAATCTAGCAATTAAAGGCCTGCTTGGTTCGTGGGAAAAGGGTTTAGAATTGGAACTGGAATGGGCCATTCTCACTTCAACTGTTTGGCTGAACGGAATTGAAATCTCATTCCCATTTCTGCTGGAATGGTATTCCTCCATTTGAAGGAATGGCCATTCCCTCTGACCTTGGGAATAATGAAATCCCATTCCAGCTTATTTTAATTCTAATTCAGATTCCTGTTTGAATCAAACAGAATATGAGAATAGACATTCCGATTCCAATTCCAAGAGATGATTCCAATTCTGACTACCAATCAAATAGACTCTAAATAAAAGGAAAATAGCAAAAAATAAAAATAAAATAAAATCAACTAGTCATATTACGGTATTACCATTATCTTCAGGGACAAATGGTGTATAGTTGTTGTCATATGCTACATTTGATAGCATGTGGCATTGTGGCCAGATGGGTCTCACTAATCCACCCACTAATCAGAGAGATGGGTCTCTGTCTCTCTCTCTAGATCTCTCTGAGAATTTAATTGGGGTAGTTCGGATCAACTGTTGCATTCTGCCATGTGATATAAAATATAGAGGTCATATACAGCAAAAAGAGATGGATGAGTTGTCCAACAAATTCTTAGCCTTTGTTTATGAGAACTAGTTCGTGGCTCAACCAAGGAGTCTGTAGCAGCTTATTTACTTCTTCCTTATTCTCAGTTTGGAAGGAGTACAAATACAAATATATATAGGGCAAATACAAATAAAATAATACAAGATATTGTACTCTGTAATTTGTATTTGTATTCTTTCCAAACTGAGCCTTACATGTACACTCAACGCGTAATTTGGACGGGCTAATTTTGTCAACCTCAGGTTGGACAACAGAGGAACTTGCTTGTATTTCATTGCCTTGTCTTTAACAAATGGGCTCTATATGAGAGAGAGAGAATCCATATATTCCATCATTTTGATAGGTGATATCCAAATAAATTTACTGCCTTAGATGGTTAAAAGGGTTGATTTGGAGCAGGACCAACTATATATAGGTCCTCATCCGAATTTATGTTGTTCTTGGGTCCATACCTGGTCCATTTCAGATACAAACTGGGTCTAGTTGGATCTGAAGTCTGAGAACATAGTAGGGTTCAGAGCTCACCCAATTAGATTTGGATCCATAGTTCCATACAATCAGATCCAACTACGAAAGAGGATCTCCAAAGTGATCCAAACCTAAAATCTACCTCGGTTTAGTTTCAGCTGGTTTCTCACCCAAGTCAATAGATAATACTGATATTAGCTATCATCTTTCCCATATTTATTGAGAAAAAAGATCAAAGAATCAAAAAGGGCGGTGGGCCGGTTGCCTATTTATGTCATCCAGATGGCAAGAACTAGGATAGTTTCTAGATTTAAAAAACTTTAGTTTGTATTCAAGGTCATTTTCAACTCCTACCCTTTTCTGATACAAAGTCATATTTCCCCATATTTGTTTTTGGTAGGTAAACTGGGCCCAAATTGATGACCTCATTGAATTCTGATTTCCCATCCACCATTCATTCCATAAATCCTGACCAATGAAGAGAATTGTAATAAAATTCCACTCAATAAGATCATAAGTTTAGCTTCAAAACCACCACTGTATCTATAATTAATGTGAGATATACTAAATGCTACTTAGAAAAGCCATGGAAGAGGAGGATAAGCTTGCAGAAAGTGTTTGTAAGGGCTGAGAGGAGGATAAGCTTGAATGGGTTAATCTTCTCCCCCAAGAGAGAGCAAGAATGACTTGCTAGGGACCATGACCCCATGGTCAGATCATGTACAAACTCTTTTGGTAATTAATTAATGTATCTTTGTATGCTTATCAAAAGAAGAGAAGAGAGCTCATGGTGGGAAGCCATGGCAAGACAGGTGGGCTTCATGCAGCACTTCTAATAACTACTCGAACACTCTGGTCAATAGTTAGAACTTAATTGTCACTTAGTAGAGCTCATAAACCCTAATTCTCTCAAAAAGAAATGAGACAGGCATAAAGGTTCAGGCCTTAAAGGTCGGTTATGAAGATAAAGAACAACTGGTGATCTTTAATAAAAGGCTGAGGGGCTGACTAGTGGAGTGCCTCCTGCTGCTCTGCATCGGCCCTTGCCAAAGTAGTCCCATGGCCCGCAACTTTTGGCCGACCATGGCCCTTGTCTCCACTCATCCCACCTAGATCGGTTGGTTCCCTTCCTTGGAAATGGAATTACCATGATACCCATTTCCCGTTAGTCTGACTACAAGTTCAGTAACAAAAATTTGAGCCCATATTTGTCATTCAACCATTGAGGGGATACTTGTGTCATTTAAGGAATTCCATGGTTAAAGAATATTCTGGCCATCTGCTGGGGTGGATGTTTTCTTGTTCCAACAGTTACCATAATTGGTTTTGGAAAAGAACCGGCCAAGTAAGGCCCCATTTCTACTCATGGTTGCTGGTCAGCACCATATTCCTATCTGATCCCATGCTCAAAATTTAACCCAATTACATTTTAGATGAAAATGATGGTAAACCAAATAGGCCAACTACTGTGAAGAAAAAAGCAAGCTTGGAATCTCTCTGCTTTGTTGTGTCTTCACCACTCTTCCTCTACAATCTCTAGTTTCAGAAAGCCATAGCAGCAAGAAGAAGACTACTTTTCTTCAGAGCTTGAATGATTCAACCCAGAAGAAAAGAAGGACATATCCCAAGCTCCTCATAGAACCAGAACCTTTCATGTAATTCGAATTCTCTCTTCATGTTTTACTTTGGATTTGGACCAAGTCTTGTTATATTCTTTCTTTGAAGATGGTTCAAAGAAAGTCTCCCAGCAAGCTTGGTATCCAAGCAGCTTCCCAGAAGCATGATAAGCCCGAAAAGCGGTCAACGGCTGTTAAGCCAGCTACTACTCAAGCTCATGACATGAGAAACAAAGGAGCATCCGAGCTGAAGAAGAAAATAAAGAAGTCAAGATCATTCAAGCGATCTGACTTGGAGAGCTTGGGATCATCTTCTTCAGTGACACCGGCAAAGCTGCGAATTCATAAGCCAGTTATGGAGACATCTAGTCCTGGTATTAGTCCACAGAATCAGTCCATGATCAAGGTCTCCAGCGCGACTCCGAATTACATGAAGCCCACAACCAGTTCTGATGCAAAGAAGGAGCAGCGTTCACAGGTGAGTCACTGTCAAACTAGTCCTCATAGTAGAATTTCTAGTGGAAGGAATACGAGTTGCTCAAAGCACTCTGCTTCTGGTCACAAACCTGCGAGAGCTTTAACAAAACAATCTAGTTTGAAACCAGTGAGGACTTTAACGAAGACGTCTAGTTTCAAAATGTCGAGGCCTTCCATAAAGAAGAGTTCCCGAGTTGCTCTGTGTCCTAGCCTGGATGTTGGCCGGGCTACCTGTTCATCCACTCTGAAGGATTCAAAGTTGCCGGCTTTTCTGATACTTAATCCAGGCGGAACAGAAGCACAAGGAACTTCAGTTCCGAGGGTCTGCCCATATAATTACTGCTCCCTCAATGGCCATCATCACGCTCCTGTGCCTCCCCTGAAGCGTTTCTTGTCGATGAGAAGACGTCTGCTTAAAACCCAGAAGAGCAAGAGATTGAGAAGTCTATCCCCACTGAGAAAAAAATCTTCTCGGGGCGGAAAGAAGGGAAGTGATACGGGTCAGCTGGACTACAACAGGGATCCTACAATTCAAGACGCGATGTTGGCAAGCTCAGAAATATCTCCTCTGATGGATGAATCGGACACGGATTTTTTTGTAGAAATTTATGCTAAACCAAGAGATGAAACTGCAGAATCAATTGGAAGAAGCATTCTCAATGGAGATGAGGAAGCAATAATTGATTTTTCTTTGAACCCTGAAGATCTTGACGATGTTAGTATGTTGTCAGATAGAGATGAGGCAGAAGCAGAGAATTATGATGGAAAAGTTGATGAGAGCTTCACTGATGATTCACCGCACTCAGAAATAAGCTTTGAAGTCGATCTCAGCCACAATGGAGATGTTCTCATGGGAGAAATGGACACTCCAATGGCATCTCCTGGACATGATCAGTTTTTAGAAACTGAGGTTGATGACTACCAGCTTCCCCTGGTGCAATCCCAAACAGGTATGGGATATTGCTGCATTGAGACCAAATTGGAATTTGAAATCCCTGCAGAGACAGAACTCATTGAGTGTGTTTCTGAAGTTACAGATATGGATTGCGGGGAAGTACAAGCTGCAATACCACATATTGATTTTCACCAGGAAATTCCAAAGGTGGGAGAACTGCAGGAGTTCTGTAAAGAAAATGAAAGCTACCTCAATGAACTTGGAGACAGTGGTTCTGAATTGAATGGCGGAGATCAAAATTTGGAGGGTGATGCATCCAGTGATGTAAGCGCTGAAGGGTCTGATGGTTTTGAAGGTTTAAATCGGGAGGCTGGAGTTGAGGAATCTACAATAGTTAATGGAGAAAAAGGAGAAGATACGCAGCCAGATATCTTCATCAGCATCATGGAATCTGCAACTTCTGAAGTCTCATTGGTGGAACCAATAGGATCCTGTGAAGAAAAGAATGGAGAATATGAATCAGGTGACAACTTCCTCAAACAATATTCTCTACCCAAAGATGGTGAACCCATGTGCACCACTAATGTTGAATGTGAAGCTGTAGAGGAGATAGATGAAAACAGTTCTGAAGATGCAGGGAACGCTCTTGACTTTGAAACATCTGAGTCAATTGATCTAGAGGATGTGGCAAAAAGCAGTCTTCCTCTAGACGACGCAGTTGTGGGTGCTGATGTCCAAGGCGTAGCAGGAGGAAAAGTAGAAGATGCCAATAATCTTGAGACGGTTAAGGAAGATTGCAATGAAAACCACCAAATACAAACAGAGATTGATGCTTACAAGCTTGATGTTACTACTGAAGATGAGAAACTCCTCCCACTAGAGACTCAAGACCACTCATCTGATGACCAATCATACATGAGTGATGTACTTGAGGAACAAAAGCTCTCAGAAAAGGTTCAGGGAGTTGGAGGTAAATTTGGTATCACAAGTTCCAGAGATTCTGAGGAAGACAATGATTCAAAGAGGAACAAACACAGTTCCACTGAAGAAAGTGAAGAAGACAAGGTAATTCAAGTAAGAAATGGTATGGAATTGGATGAAACAAAGACATTCCCCATGGAAAATAATAATGTAAGCCTAGAAGAAGATAAACTAATCATCAATTCAGAAAGCAGCTTCAACCAACAACTGCCCAAGGCCTGCAGAAATCTAAGAGGAACAGTCAGACGCAAGAGGCCTACTGAGGACGAGGAGGAACCCAGGAAGTTCAACCCACGGGGCCCAAATTTCCTTCCTTTGGAGCCTGACCCTGAAGCAGAAAAGGTTGATCTCAGGCATCAAATGATGGATGAAAGGAAAAGTGCAGAGGAATGGATGGTTGACTATGCTCTTCAACAGGCAGTGAAAAAACTTGCTCCATCTCGCAGCAAGAGGAGAGTGGCAGTGCTGGTTCAAGCTTTTGAAGCAGTAACTCCAGTACCAATTCAAGCTTGTAGCTAATGGTGGGCATCTAGGTAAGAGCTATGATACTCTTGATTAAAAACAATAGATGTCAGGGAAATAATTTATAGATGATCTAAGCTCATAGGAAAAATAGATTCTCATTCTTTTTCTTCATCTTTGATATGCAGTTGAGGGCCAGAATGCTGTTCAATCCCAGAAGATTTACTATGAATTAGTGAAGTGGTATAAACAACTATAGTTCAGCATGAATAAGGTACAGGTTCAATAAAACAACCGACTTGTTCAACATTGCTTGGGAGTTCAGGAGGAGAAACAATACAGTAGAAGTTATGGTGTGGACATTGAACTCTGTACATACAATAGTATAATTTCTATTAACAATCTAAAGCTATGTATTAATTAAGTTGTGATGTTTTATAGTATAATGAATAAGGTCACTATATGTACTCTGTAGTAAGAGTATTGAGTGTGTTGTTTAGCATCTTCAAGGGGATAGTATCAACCTCAGTTGTTAAGGGTGATTCACCTTCAAGCAATTGCCAATTTATAATGTACTTGTTTGTTTTATAGTAAGTACCCACTTCTGTCCAGTATCCAGTAAGTGATTTTCTCCTGTGAGATACTTGAGTTACTAGTCTATAACAGATCAATTCTATACAATAAGATTGAACTGTTATAAAACTGGATTTTGGAAATATATATATCTATATATATATATATATATGAATGTCAAGATGGTATGGTGATTTCCATAGAAAAGGAATTCATATTCCAAAATGTTCAGAAAAGCACATAAACTCATTGATATATCTTTCACCATTGCTTTTCGTCAATATAAAATATGAAGATTGTAAATCACAGAACTAAACAAAGTTATTACAGAGGAAGAGAAGAAATTATGTGCATGGACAATCAAACAAAAGCCAAGCAACATAATTGTTGATAGAGTTACTTTGCCAGGAAAATAGAGCAGAGATGTCAGTAACAGATTTGGTAAAGAATAGACAATTTTATAATCCAATAAACATTATCCCATGAATAAATACTTCTTATGGCTTGATTTTTCTGACTGTACAATTGAAGTTGAAAACAAATCTCATCCCAAGTTGATCAGAACAGGAAGCTGTACTGTGCTGCATCAAAAATGGAGGAAACAGGAAATAACAACTTAGCAGTTTACATTTCCATGTTCATTAGTTTCCCTACAAAACATACAAAAAGGGACAAAAAAATGGAGAAGCTAAAATCATAGAGCATGAAGCTAAATGCTAACTAGTGATAGGTCTGTCTAGTAACTGATCTGTACAGTAATAAATTGATGCCAAACTATCTAAATTTCATGCTACAGAGTTATGCCCATCCAATGGCCACAATTTCTCTTTTCCAAGTCCATGATTATTCTATTACACTGAATATTTGATGTCATATGATTATTAGAGTTTAGACCATCCCATAGTAGGAAACAGAGAATTGAAACTGATGCCCATCTTGGGGCAACCTGCAACAATAAACCAAAGAGCCAATTTAGATGAACCTTATAATCCAGCAGGTTGACATTTTGAGGAAGCATTAAAAATATGGCAAAGTAGTTAGTGCATTAAATAGTTAGGACCGTCAGTTTCTGGCTAGAATGTTACACAGGTCGGGTCTGCCCACTGAATGATAGACCAGGTGCTCTCCCACTTAAGTTTTTAATATTTCTGCACTTATGGTTTTGTTTAGAGGCCATTACTTGGTGTAATGGTAAAATCCTGAGTCAGCAAACCTCTGAGAGCAACAAACTTGTTAAAGAAAAAAAAATGATGAGGTTATGACAATATGCAGTCTACCCCACCCAAGACCTCTGATAGCTAGGACCAGCATTGGGTAATGGCCTTTTGCTTTCATTTTTAGTTTCCTTTAGGCTTAGATAAACTGAAATGTCTATAATTCAATTGAAAGAATCATGGGCCAAGTCTAGGGGTGACTTGATAAGTTTCAAATGAATTTTAGAAAAGTTTTGACAAAATTTCCCAACCTTATATAAATATATAATCAGTTCAGCACATCTTTTTTGGCAAAAAAATTCCCAAGTTTGCTTTATTTCAAAAATTTGGCCTAATCTAGCCCTTACCTCAATTCCCAACTACAAGTGGATCATCTACAAGAATGATAGATCGTTCCACTCTATCTTAATGATCCACTCTGAGGTTAACACATTGAAAAGCACAACATTTCAGTACCTTCTTAACTGCTAGAAACTTCCTGTTCTAAGTTCAGGTGCCCCCAGGAAAGGTTATCAATGATAGTTTGTTCTTGAAAGCTTCATGGGCAGCCTGATCTTGGAAGAAATCACAATAGGTAGATATAAAGCCAAAATGATGTTTGCATTAATTATAAAGAAATAAAATGGTTAATGTTTTATTAATTCAATGGCTAGAATTGGATTTGAAGCATCCTGATTTGCCAACCAGTAAAGCTCCAAGCAGGGGATACCATGCGATCTGGTTTTGTTAGTCATTGTCAAACTGATTGGGCCATAACTGGGGCCATGCTGGCTCAAGGTCCACTGGCCCAGCTCAAGTTATGCTTGAATTGGGCCAATCTTTCGTAAGTTGGGCTGGGCCGTCCAAGTTCTCGATCTAAAGTTGAGTTTTGGATCGTCCGAGCTAATTTTGGTCCAGTGCAAGGGCTGTAACATTAAAACCAAAAACATTGATTACTTATGGATACAAAACCACCACCACCACCATCATCATCATCATCCATTCCATTCTGTTTAAAACCACACCATTGTTAAATTATGAACACTAAAATCAGAACGCTCTAGCATGAGCACAGAATGACAAATCATAATTTATCTTGTGTAAAATGTATACTAAAACGGAATCTTATCAGGTGAAATTATTCATCAAAAAACTGCCTGAAGTTTCACTTTTAGATAGATTTTACACAAGATTAAATCTAGAAGAATATTACTCAAACTTTTCCTACATTAAAACTGACTGAAACTAGACCTGTTCATGAGCTGGGCTTCGAGCCTGACTTCACAGTATGTTGGTCTCAGGTCAAATTTTGGCAAAATCCAAGCCGGAGTCCAGCCATGAACAGGTCTACCTGAAACCTTCCCTGTTTATCAAAACCAGGATTGGACGTCTCCTATGACATGCTTGATTAGAGCAAACCCCCTTCATTTAGATGCCTATCATATGTGATGGTGCGCAATCTGGCTGGTCCTAGCTGTAAATGATGTTGCCTCTGGCTGGAGCAGAAGGTGCCTGAAACGAGGAAGAGAGCGAGTATTTCCGGGGAGGAACCCGGTGAGAGTGCTCCGAAGCTCAAGTTAGTATCTTCTCAAAAGCAAGATAATAAACCAGATAACGCAAAGTTATCACATACCTCCTTCTTGGGGGGAAGAGAGCCTTTTATAACCACTTCGCGCACTCACTCCCAAGCTCCTGTCAGGTCGGGCATCATTACCTCTGCACTTCTACCAGTTCGGGTGTCATCACCTCTGCTGGGGCAGACAACCGCCACTGCTCGCTTTGTCGGAGCCGTCTCTGTGACTAGAAGTGGCGGTGGCAGGTGGCCGTTGAAGTGCAGCTGTCAAGCGTCAGATCCTAAGTCAGTCAGGTGCGCCGCCTCAGGATATAGACTCCTTTGGTGTCAGGTACGGTTATTCAGCTCGGCGGTCTGGAGCCGAAGTGCTAGAGTGGTGTGTGAGGTAAAGTCTTGAGTTCGGGTAGAGGTGTGGCCCGAACTGCTTTGGGGCGGGCCAGTTCGGGTTTTTGCCCCTTGTGCTCCTTGTAAGGCTCGGGGTCAAAGGGGGAGTTTAGGCCCCTTTTGGGGAGCTCGGACTGCTAGTTCCTCCTCTCGGAGCTCGCGCCTCGAGTGTATTGCCGTGCCGAGTTGTTGCTTCTGCCACGTGTTGGGTGGTCGGGCCAAATCTTCCTTCATCAATTGCCCCCCACTCCTCGTGCTAAGGGGCTTGCCCTGGCACGGGGAGTTTGTGAGGTGGCGGGTGGATTTGACCCGTACTTCGAACCGGTTTACTGATAGCGTGAAGTGTGCGTTCGTTAGGAGATCTCCGGGTTTCTCGAGTGCCAAAAAAGTCAGGGGACGCGCCAGTCCGTCTTTAAATGCTGGGAGACGTGACAGTGCGCGTTATTTCAAAATTTAAAAAACGCGAGGCTGGGAAACGTGACAGCGGGTGTTATTTCAAATTTGAAAAATGCGCCGCTGCTGCCTTTAATGCGGGGAGACGTGCGCCGACACTGCTTCAGTTTCAAAAGACGTGCGACCAGTCACGTCTCGGTCTTAGGAGGTGTGCGGTCAGCTTGATCGTGGGCCGTTGGATTTGCCTCGATCAGAACTGTCGGTTTTCGGTCACCGTGGGTATAAATGGTGGGGGACCCCCAGTCGCTTTCCATTGCCATTCTCCTGCATTTGCTTCTTGAGCTCGCATCCAATTTCCAGCTCGCGTCCAAGTCTTTTAGCTCGCGTCAACCTTCCGTAGTCCATTTGCCTTTTTCCGGGTGAGTCGGTGCTTTCTTCCTGGTATTCTTTTCTTCCCGATATCTAGCTCGGATAACTCAGACAGTTCTTCGAGGGGGTCAGATGTAGGTTCTACGAACCGAGTTGCAACCCTCGACAGCCCTAGTGAACCCGAGGTAGAGCTCGAGGAAGAGATCGAACCCGTAGGCCGAGCCGCCTCGGGTAGTTTGGCGTCCTCCTCCCGTCGAGGACAGACGTTGGATAAGTTTGGGCCCTCAACCATGATGCCTGAGGGGCTTTACTCCCTTATCACCCAGTTTAACCTGCCTAGGGAGTATACCTACTTTATACCCTCGGGCGACTTCCCTTGGGAACATGGTCCTGATGAGATCGTGAGATTCCGGGAACAGCTCGCCGCTGGGTTGCGCCTACCTTTCCACCCCCTCATCGTCAAGGTTATGAACCACTTCGGCATTACCGTTGGTCAGCTCCACCCGAATTCTATTCGAAATTTGGTTGGGACTATCTCTCTCTTCTGCGAACAGATTTTGCCTTTAGACCTTGAGATCTTTTCCTCCATTCTAATGCTTAAGAAGCAAGTGGGTCCCCTTCCTAGGCGTAGGCGGGCGTACTACCTGTCTCCTCGCCCGGGTTTCAATCTTTTACACGATCTTCCCAACAAGGTCCCGGCGTGGAAACGAGACTACTTCGGAGTGCGAAGTGCAATGGGGTGGCCATTCCAAACCGGGTGGGGGATGGCTGCCCCCGATGCCGGTGTTACGTTAGATAGGGAGACGGCGAAGGGCCTCCGAGAATGGGCCCGGCTTGGGCTAAAATGCCACCATTATCTGAAGGAGGCCAAGCTCATCCAGGCCGGCCTGAGTTCGGGTAGGTTCCTTGCTTAGAGTCTTGCCTTTTGTTTTGCTTTTCGTTCTTTTGTTTTTTTGATGTCGAGCTCTTTGTGCAGGTGTGATGGACGCAAAGTAGACTCGTGGTGGGAACCTATTTCATGCCATGAAGAGGAGGAAGCGAGTTGCCAAATGGACTCGTGCCGAACTGCCCCAAGATGCGGAGCCCGAGGTGCTAGGCTACCCGCCAGCGGATCCACCCAGGGAGCCCGAGAT